CAGTTCACCATAAGGAACGCCGTCACGCTTCTTCGCTGATGGAACCCGCAAGGCGTCCGTCGCGGCCAGCATCGATCCCAGTACCGACGGATGGCGTCCAGGCCTCCGTTGTGGTTCCGGGAAACTTGTCCTGGGACGCGACACGTCGCGGCAACCATGCGCACGGGCCTCTCTCACCTAGGGATGGCGTACATGCCTCCTCCATACCTGGCAACCTGTCGGCGCTTCAAGCACCCACCGTGTACGGCGTCGAGGCCTACCCGGCGGCGCAAGACCGCTTCATCTACGCCACAGTACCAGGTCACAACTCATCACATGGGTTCCGCTTGCCTGGGAACGTCGTTGACGCTTCCAGCGCCCTGGAACCCATGTCCACGATTCCTACCACAGCTGGATTTCCAAGGGACGCCGTCCACGCGTCCTTGGTCAGCAATTGTACCACCTCGAGTACCGCAGTCACTGTATCCTCCGCTGAGGCGGGCCTTGGCTCTTCGTGCGGATCGCACGACAGCGCAGCGGAGCTGCAGCATACCATCGCGCAACTCCGCGTCACGACCAACGCCCTCATAGCGTCGAGCTCCCAGCTACGTCCTGCCATCTTGCCAACATTGTGCGCACTCAATGCCATGTTGGCTGCGGCCGCCTCACAAAACTTCGAGGTAAGCTCGCCCGAGAACCGTCGCAATCTCGGACGTTCTCTCACGGAGGTATCAGAGCAAGTGAACTGCTTGGCGTGGGCACATTTCGGAGTTTTGCCCGCAGTCCCGCCATCGCCGATTTCCTTCGAGCTACCGGAGTTTCGCGGCTTCCAGGACGATGCCAGGGAATGGGTGGCAACCGTCAACGCTGTCGGAGATCACGCAGCGTGGACGGACCAAAAGAAGTGGGGCATGGCCATAGACCGCCTTCGGAATGCTGCCGCGGCTTGGCATCGATACGAAGGCGTGCGGCAGACGTCCTGGGTGGACTGGAGTGACAAGCTCATAGCTGCTTTTGGACGGAGTCACCATCACCTCTCCACGGCCACCCAGTCTTACGCGACCGCTACCGAGAATAGATCCCAGAAGGAGACCACCCTCGCGGCTTCAGCTGTATTTTGCAGCTTCCCGACAGCCAATTTGACCACCTGCCCTGGGACGAACGGCCCTACGGTGCTGACCCTCACTTCGAAGCGACATCTCCTGATATCACGTCAGTCTGTGGCCGAGTGTGCGGACGTCTGCCACACGCTAAGCGCCGCTTCCTTCAAAGTCACTGTCAGCAAAGACCTACCAGAGAAGGTAATACTTCCGGTTGGTGACAGGTCATCTGACAATGAAGGCTCTACTGCACGTGAAACTATAGGAATAAGCAGCTTGAGCATGAGTCCGACAAAGGCAGTGCTGCAAGAGCACGCGTTGCCTCTCAAGCTGCAACCTGAGCTCGGCTCTCAGATGACTACAAAGACACCCCGACGCCCCTTGCCACACCGCAAGCAACGCAGGCGTCGACGCTCAGTGCAGCAGGTGACGGTGCAGCGTGGACTATTTCCAGCATTTGTAACGCGACTGCGACAGGATGCTCAGACCGACGAGATTAAACCAACGCGGCCACTTTGCAGGAGTCTGTATCTCCTGCTAGCGGCATCTTGTCCGGGTCAACAGCGTTGGCCCCATCGTGGACGACGCCTGCACCGACCATCACGTCACAGCCAGTGTCGTCCTCCGGAATCTCCTTCAACAGACTTCCATGTGAAATATCAGCTTGGCCGAGCCCGGCCACCTCGGAATAGTCAATGCCGCCCACCGGAGACATTGTCGGTAGCCCACGAGGCTCGCAGTCGGGGCCGAGTGTAATGATATTAAATAGTGGGGCTCAGGCAAGGGCGCAGGCAGGGTTACGGAAGCGGAGGAAGAGGAAGCAGAATAAGAACAGCCGGCCTGCAGCAAAGGCGTTGTCTCTTATTTCTCGTCGTTACAATATATATATATATATATATATATATATATATATATATATATATATATATATATATATATATATATATATATATATATATATATATGAAGGTATAGGATATGGCACAACGGGAGCGTTGTCAACAAGGATAAATATATTTATTTCCCAACAGTTTCGGGAGGGGACCTCCCTTCATCAGGGGATGAGTTATACACTTCCTAGTATAACTCATCCCCTGATGAAGGGAGGTCCCCTCCCGAAACTGTTGGGAAATAAATATATTTATCCTTGTTGACAACGCTCCCGTTGTGCCATATCCCATACCTTCACGAAGACTAACTGGCCCATTGAATTATTACTCCCATTATATATATATATATATATATATATATATATATATATATATATATATATATATATATATATATATATATATATATATATATATATATATATATATATATATATATATATATATATATATGGGAGACCAGGCAAGAAGTCCCGAAAACATACATAGTTGTGTATATTTGATAAAGAAAAGCAGGAGTAACTGATAAAAAATTACAAAATTTTGCGCGATTCGTTAAACTTTTCAGATAAACTGCAAGCTCAGTAAGTTCACATAATTTGAACGGCAGTATCACCTACCACTTGTTGTGTTTATCTATGACTTTCCTTCTACGATTACAGAATTTCCTTAGAGCAATGTTATCAAGCTTCGAACGTCGGAACACTCACAGGCACGGTTGGGAGCATTCGCAGCTCCCGCCTCCACGGCCGATTTTCATCTCCGTCGTTTTCGCGCACGTGACAGGGCCTGCGGTCGAAGGGTTCAAGTTTAATTTCGCTGCAGTACGGTATAATTATGTCGAGACCAATATTGGTGCAGCCACACGCTACTGGTGCGAAGATTTGGAAACAGCGGAGCTCTTATCATCCTTACAACACTACTGTTCACTCATTTCCCTTTGTCACCCCCCTTGCTATGTTGCAGTGCACACAGCTATGCTATGTTCTATACACTCTTCCCTTCTCTCTGCTCCTCACCCTCACTTACCCCCTTGCTATACTATACTATACTATGCATGGCTATACTTTCCTTTCTCTCTCTGTTTGATTCTCTCTTTTCCTTTCTTTCTCTTTCTCGTTCTCTCTACCATATCAAAGCAATAATACGGTTGGGAGAGATCACGCCGCTCACGTTCAGACTTCAGGTACCGGGGTTCGAGTGCCTCCACACTCAAAAGATTTGTTTTGTTTTAATTATTCCTCTTCTCCTCATCTCTGCTTCCCAGTTGCTCTTTTCCGTGCAGTGGACAAGGTGACATCTACACACACGTTGCCCCTCACTTCTCTCTCTCTTCTCCTTTAATCCCCTTCCCCCAGTGCAGGGTAGCAAACCGGACGTGCGTCTGGTTGACCTCCCTGCCTTTCACCTCTTCCCTTCCCTCTCCTCCTGCTCCTTCCTCCAACACTTTGCTAAGCGGCGCATGGTGACGTCATCACTCCGGCTGAGGAAAGCCACAGTTTCCGGGCACACCACCGGACCTATAGCTCAAGCTTTGAACAGCGCCACTGTTCATTGCGATGTCTTCAGCGACTACAGACACTGTAAGTGTCAGCGTCGAGAAATAGCAGTGCGGCTCGGTAGTTCTCACCAGCAGTGCCTTCGAGGGGGCAGGTGGGAGCGTCGTTTATGGGGCCTCTGCCAGGGCGCATGTACTGCGGAGAAACGCAGCCACACGCTTCAAAGATTTGAACTTGGTAGCAGTAGTCACGGCATTCCTGTCGAGAACAACAAATTTACAATGTATATCTGCAAACGTATTCTCGTGGTTTCATAATAATTTTCATGATCTAGCATACTCCCTCTAATGGTGCAGTCGCTAATAAAGTACCTCAGCAAATATGTGCATACTTCTGATCGTAAAAAGGGCATACGTGAAACAACGTGTGCGTTTCAAAGGGAGAAGGCAACTATCAAATTATATGCGACAGTTTGTGAGAAAAGGTGACTGTTACAGGCACGCCGCAGCTTCGTAATAACGTCGCTTGGAAAATTTATGCTCGAGCGTGCAATCACTTAAAGGTAATATCTGTTTTGGTTGGCCAGCCGCATCAACCTAATCATAATCGATGTTTTACGTCCCAAACCCACAATAGTCTGGAGAGAGACGCCGTATGGAGGGTTCGAGAAATTTTGACCATCTGGCGCTCTTTACGTTTTTTTTTTTTTTACACCTCCTTGCGTACGCCTAAATATGAGTACACGGATCTCCGCATTTCGCCTCCATCAAAATAAAAACGACCGGGTGAATGCTGTGAACTTAAAACATCGTTCTAAAACAAATGTGGTAGTGTAAATGTACTTATTAGCAACGCGTTTCTTGAATGTCCGGACTGCCAAATCCACAATATCTACGAGTGGCACTGATTTCACAACAAACTGAATGTTTCTAATTTGATACGACTAATCTGCCGACATGGACTGACATTAGTTTGCCTCCTGCGTCCCAAAAACACGGTTATTCAGTAATGTATCTCTAAGGGTTTGTTCCCGCGCACGTATACAGTGAAGTTCGATTATCGCGAACCCCGCAAATCTCGCTATGTTTCTTCCCCTCATATACTCACATGCGCGGTGTAGTGCTTCTCGCTGTCGACGTATTCGCTTATCTCGGGTGGCCACTGACTGCGACACGGGTTCTGATAGGGATGGCCCAGCCTCTTAAACTCGGCCTGCAACACGGCAGAACATGCACGCAACCGACATTTCTCTCTATACGTACAGAGTAAGCCGTGCAGGGGCGACTAACTCTTTCCATAAAAAAAAAAGTCTGTATTGGTATTTTTTAAGCCAAGGTTTATATGGTGATTCTGTATTTATATGGTGATTCTGTATTTATATGGTGATTCTGTATTTGGACTCAATTGAAGCAAAACGATCGTAGCCAAGTCATCGAACTTGACTCACGCGGTCCACGGATATGTAGGTAGAGAAGCCGGGTGCCACGAACGTGACATCTTTGGCGACGTCAATCTCGCGCCACGGGTAGTGAACCATAATGGCGAATCCAGCTTCGACGGTGAGCGGGACGTATTCATTCAGCTCCACGTCCAGGACCAGGCTCAGTCCTGGGTGGACACAGGAATTAAGGGGATCGTCGCGAGAGAAAAGCGTCTTCATTAGTATGCAATAGCTTCCCATCTGTCTCACTCCATCTACATTTTGAACGCGGTACTCAAACATTGTCATATGCCTATATGTATACATTTGAAATATTTCACTTAAAACATTTAACAAACTTCAAAAAAAAAGTTTAACGGGGGGTTATGACCCGAGCCGGGTGATACAGAAGTCAGAATAACATAATGAAAAAGGTGGCAGTGTACTTGTATGCCACATTTTCTCACTTAGAAACGGGAGAAAGAATAAAAAAAAAGAAAAGACCAGGGAGAGCAACTGACGTCGAACTGCGTAGGCGTGCTGCAAACGCTGAAAGAAGAAAAAAAAAGGGGGGGGAAGACATTATAGAGCGCAAACTACCAACAATTCATTTTGATATCAAGAAGTCATTATATAAACACGTACTTTATATACCGCAAGGCATATGTATTACAATATCCTGCACTATCACCTGAGCGACCGCCTGCAGACTGTGTGTGCACCCCGAGTGTGCTCGTGATTGTGTGTACCTTCTCATCTCTCTGCAACCTCTTTTCTCCCCTTCATCCCTTCCCCAGTGCAGGGTAGCAAACCGGATGTGCGTCTGGTTAACCTCCCTGCCTTTCCTTGCATCTTTATCTCTCTATCATATACTATCATACACTATCAGTTTTCTTGATCTCAAGATAAACAGTTGGTAGCATGCCCTCTATTCTGTCTCTTCTTCTGCTTTTTTTTATTTCTGTCTGCTTGGGCAACACGTCAAGATTTCGCTATTAGGCAACTATAGCCTGCAAAAAAGTATTTATATACAGCAAAATATTGGCAACATGAGTGGCAAGCGCCAACGGCAGGACTAATTTTGTTTGACGAGTTAGCAGTTTTCGAAAAAGAGGGTTCTGTTTTAAACGTGAACGTAACAAAGACATAGCGGAAGAATAGTCGCAACTCGCGACCGTGAAACGACTTTCCCAACTTATCACGTATTAACGATGATGTTCTTACCATGTCTGCATCCGTCATTCATGTCTCTGACGTAATGTGTGCCCCTTTTCCGATTGCAGCCGACGCAGACACATTCTCCGTATGGGTGCACCGACTTCATCCCAAGAAGGCTGAGTGAATATTGACACAAACATATTTGCGTTACACCGTGAACAAAAATGGCATACAGTCGAACCACTCTGTAACTTATTATCATTTTGCTACGTCCAGCGGTGTTTTTTTTTTTTGCGCTAGCATGCAAAAACGAAGTCTTTAGAAGCTTCTTTAGAAATTAGGTTTCAAATGTATACCATAAATAACCATTAAAATGCTCATGGTCCACTCCGAGTGCCGTGACTGAGACGAATACACGAACAACACAGAAATGCTGTTGTGACGTGTATGGCGACAAGTTCAATTACAGGTACACTAAAACACTTCGAGTTCAAAGACGAGGGAGGGGTTTGTTTGACGCCTTCAGTTCTCTTTCTATAGGTACGTTTTCGACACTTACTTATTAACGATGCCCGCGGAGTTCAGCCATTGTAAGGATTTCGTTCCTTGCGGTTGCGCGATGTCATCTTCAATTCTATCGTCGAAAGCGCACAAAATGAAATGCAGTTCGCTTGATCGTGCACAACGTGATCGCATGTCTTTACTTCTCAGTACTTCTCTGTCTGTTGTGCGTTCCCGCGCTTTTATTTAGCCGAACGAATATGAAATATACCAACTAGTCCACCTACCTATCCTGTTGCATTGCGAAACATGGTAGAGTACAATCTATAATTGCTATACCTCTTATATTGACCGACGGACAGCTTGTACCTTCATGACGTCACGTGAACAGGCTGCTGGCGTCACGATCAGTGGCTTTTAGTATTTTCGTGAGCCGTTCTGACAGCTTGTGTTCACGTCAGCCTGGCTTGAATCCGGATTTACGTGACGTCATGTCCACGTGACGCCAGTCGGGCTAGCCCTTGTTTGTGCGAGAAAAGGGATTACTGTCGCCGCTTCCAACGTGATCAACAAGCCGGCCATGCGTTGCGTACTTGTCCTTATGGCAGTCTTCGCCATTCAGGGTGCACTGTCGCACCATCGCATTCATTTGATGTCCCAGGTGAAGGTCAGCAAATTGATTGTCGCGGAACACTGTCTTGATCCAATCGGTCAGTTCTCGCTGTTGTTCCAGGTCCTCCGTGCTCAACTGTATACAAAGTATAACGTGCAAACGAGCTATAGGAATAAAATTGGAACTTAATTAAGGCTAGCGGGACCTACGCACACATAACATATATCCAGGAGTTAGGTCCTAATGCTGCACATTCAGGTTTTTACAGAAACTAAATAGTAAGTGTGGATATTTGCAACAAGAACAGATTGCATGCTTAACATTAAGAAAACAAGAGAGGGAAAACCAAAAGACAATGTGCTAAAATTGAAACCCAAAAGACAAAACATTCAGTAACAATGCAAAACACTTTGTTGAACTGATCGATTGTAGTGCAATCTAACTCGCACTAATAAGCCCGCATCGCCATCATCCTAACTGCTGCCCCTTATCTTCGAGAGTCAGAACAAGCGCTACATTCTGGGCTCGTTGGTAACGCTTCATTCGCATCCAGTGGAATGGATGTGGCTCCTTCTCGTAGAAAACACAGCTGTTAACTTAACGGCTGGGTTTCCGAAAACTATTGAAAGCAAGTTTTTTTTTTTTTTACAATACTCAAATCTTGCAAAGACACATGTGTCATTAGGCATACCACACCACACTTAACACACGCATCTCCAAAGAGTCACCGCAGCAATTAACAGAACCGCAGGCCGCCAACCGACAGTGTCCAGATATTTTGCTGGGTGGTTTCTTTCTATGGGCTAGAAGTCTGTCTAATAGCAAAGCACACATTGCAGAGGACCGCGTACGCACATGAAATCAACACTAGTCACCTAAAGTCGCATTTGGCTTGATTAATTATTAGTATTTTTTTTTTTTGAGTGCGCATAGCGTGCATTTGTCCGCGGAAACGACCAGGTCACTTTGTTTTTTCGTAGCCAATTGTACTCCTGTTTTTTTTAGTCATCATGGCACCGATGCTGGCCAAGAGCAAACAATTGCTTGTGCAAAAACGACATGCGGAGACTCTATGTGGCGACTTTCCCCAATCTTTAGCGCTGCAGCGTCGTCACGCCTCCACCCTATTTTACAGCAAAAGCTGTTATGAAATCGCAACAGGGGTCACGTGTGCCGTAGTTGTCCGCCGCCGCCGGTGTCCGTAATCGCTATCACACGAAATAGCAACTGAAAAACACCAAGGACACAATGGTATCTTTGAAACCGAGTCCGCTGCGTGCCAGTCCAGTATTCTACTACTGAGCCACGTCGGTGCTTGGAACTCCATTGCCGACTAGGCTTAAGGCATGCTTCATGTCGAAATAAGAATCGGTTAATATGAGTAATAAGCGTTTTAGAAGAGCAAAGGAACAACCATGCAACCAGGCGACAAACAATGCGAACTGCGTAACGAGTGGGTCGTCAAATGCGCCAACCCATAAAAAAAAAAAAACCTTCAGACATAATTCTTCATCGTCGTAAGCCACGTGCAGTATCCAAAAATTTCACAAACATTGCGTAAAAGTGTGTAACGGGAACAACGTTTTTCTGAAGAGTGGAGAAGGATGGCATAGTAAACGCCTCCCTACTACACAAAAATTATCAATTATGGCGTAGTGGGTACCCTGCAAGTGTGCTTGTAGCAGTTACCCAAAGAGTGTTTAAATAACGCTCTGAAAGGTCCCTCTTCTAGCCTTCGCTCTTCTAGCCTTCGCGCAGGCCTGGTGATGTTTCCTCCATGACGTTTCAATGCCGTGTGAAAAAGGTACTCTCATTATCAGTAGCGCTTAAACCTTTCGATGTTTAAGCGTGCACGCTATTACGTGCCGCACACTGGTTTTTGTAGTGTCAACAGGTTAGTCCTGCTGCAAAGGAGGATGACGCACAATAGAGACTATTTCATGGATGGGCTTCGCTTCCGCCATATTGGGCTGTTAATGTTGATGTTTTGTATCGAACTAAATGAGTAGTGCAACAGTAGAAAGATACGTATAAAACGGCTGGATTGGGGCATTAGATATTACATGACATTTCGCATCGCGATGTACGAATTTAACAAAACACTTATACAGTAGGCGCCCAGTATAGTAAGATCGTCGAGAAAAAGGTTTTGTTATGTCTTTGGGATTTGCTTTTATATCTGCTTTCAAAATTTAGCTGCTCGAAAAACATTCTTTGTTCGGCCAGATTCACAAAAAAAAAAGTCTTACGCTACAAATTTTCGTAAGAAAAGATTTCAGTCAATCACTATGCGAGTCATATCCTTAAAGGAACACTAAAGTTAAATAACAATTTACGTCTGAGTGAAAGCTCAATGTATGACAACATCTAAAACGACAATATTAGCAACAACAGTATACTTACCGAGAAATTAAGGTAAATGCACAAGAACACGCGCACCGCAGTAGGACACCAATGATTCAAGAATTCAAATTCAAATGGCGCGAATGATTCAAGAATTTAATATTCGCGTAGCTACATTGATCAGGTGGTGTCATCTCGCGGGGCGCCGTTGAATAAAAAAACGTCTGCAATCTCGAAGCCAATGGTGGTAAATAGATCAATGACCGTTGTTGCTGCTGTGGCTCCCGCTGCTTTCTGTCTGCTGCTACTAGCGCAGTAAAGCTGGGCAACGTTGTGCACGGAGTGACGTCAGTAGGTCCGGTCGGTGCGCTTCTTGAGGCGGGTAATTTGAAGTGCGCTAACCCGATGCGGACCACTAAAACGTGATTTTATTTCTAGAGTAGGCCCCTTCTTGGCACGAAACGAACAATACGAGGTTTATGGGCCGCCATTTGAACCATCAACGTCGACTTGATAGTTGCCTTTAGTGTCCCTTTAACGTAGTCAGCTGAAGAAGGGGAAAATACACTTACGAAAGAGTAATTTTGCGAACTCTGAGTCTAGTCAATTTTGCTGCATTAGTATCGCACAACTTACAACTTGTACGAGCAGACACATGATAACACTATACAATAGAAATTCGTTGAAAAGTCAAGCCACGGGATTTTCGATCCCTTGAGAGCCTCACCGCGATGTCCCGGTGGGCAGTGGAGTTGCAGAGGAGGCGCCTCCAGTATTGCAATGCCTCGTCGTGCTCGTGAACAGGCGGCAGGCGAGGGGTGCAAAGGGCCGACAGGCGCATCGGATTCATGTTGCACACGGTCACAGCGGGGAAGGTAGGTCGCGCCGGCTCGTGCACCGATACGGTTACGATATCGTCAAAGCGAAGGTAGTCGGTCACGACAGCACTCAGGTCTTGCGCCATGAGCAGCGCGAGCGACAGCCACACCAGAAGCCAGGTCACTCGCCGAAGCCGTGGCAAGGGCGCCGAACCCGCAGCCAGCCGAAGACCAGGAACGGCGCTTCGCTGCAGAGCCGACCTGAAGATGCACAGCGCTCTTTCGTGTTCCCATTGCTAACAATAGCGCGGGCTGCATTGCATTGTAACACGATGTTAAAGTGTGTAAAGAGGAGACAATGGCGTACTCAGATTTGGGTGCACGTTAAAGAACCCCAGGTGGTCAAAATTTCCGGAGCCCTCCACTACGGCGTCTCTCATAATCATATGGTGGTTTTGGGACGTTAAACCCCGCAAATCAGGAGACAGTGGCCTCTTCCTTGTGTCCACTGTAGGCGCTCTCTCCTCCATACCCCTTGTTTCTTCCTAAAGCACATAAATAACTTCATCACTAAGCGCTAAGGCAATCAACATATCGCTCTTTCCGGCTATATACGCTACCATCTACGTTTGCGCAGTCGAAATCAATTGAAAAAACAAAATTTTATCGCGCAAGATGGCAATGCGAGATAATAAGACAGAACGGGCTGCACGACCTAGCTAAATAGAAGATAATTCCCAACTGACCGAGGACTTATTTCTTCATGACGTCACGAGAACAGACTTACGTGTCACATATTGTGTGTTTAGGAAAAAAAAAGACGGAAATTGTTTAGATTGATTGATATGTGGGGTTTAATGTCCCGAAACCACCATATGATTATGAGATAGCCGTAGTGGAGGGCTCCGGAAATTTCGGCCACCTGGGGGTCTTTAACGTGCACACAAATCTGAGCGCACGGGCATACAGCATTTTCACCTCCATCGAGGATGCAGCCGCTGCAGCCGGGATTCGATCCCGCGACCTGCGGGTCAGCTAGCAGCCGATGAGTGCCTTAGCCACTAGACCACCGCGGCGGGGCGAAAATTGTTAAGAAAAAAAAATGTTTGACTATATTGAACACGATGTACTCTACTATGGGGTGTCCCTGACTATACATCATCAAAGAAGGTTTTGATTCGTTGCCAAAAGTATACGACAAACGCATAAGGCAGCATAGCGCTCGTTCTTTGTGCCTTTAGGGGTTACTTATAACAGAAGCCCGCTGATACCTACAGGGGGTCACGCATTTATTTTACAAACAATTTGGAGCGTTCTCTCTCTTTCTTCAAAGCAAAGCAATCAATCAAATGCAGTGGCGAGAAGTACGTATAAGTTCGAATCTAAAGGGCAAGAATTGATAATGAAGTGGCTGCTTATCGAACGTACGGCCTGATGCAACATTACTAGATACTTTGGGCCTGATGACTCGCACGTCACTTAGCGGTCATCGCAAATCGCTTTTAATCGCTATCACAACGCTGCGTGTTATGTCATTGTGACACCTCACAATATCTACCTGATTTGCCTCTATATCTATTTAAAAAGCGCGGCGAAGCCTTTAAAAATAACCTGCAGCTGCCACAACTTTCAACCCGGGCATG